GCACCCGAAATACTGCAATTATCAATCTTATATTTATTATGAAACTTTGTATACAAAAACTACAATGATATGACTCTTGATAGTTGCAGGTAGCGATCGCGTAATTGAGCGATATGTCCTGAGATACCTTTTGCTCGCGAACCCAGGACATTCAAATCTCATGTGTCTTCATAGTGACATAGACTGATGACATGATAGAATTTAATAATAAAACGAGACTTACCTATAAGACGATGTTTGATTGGATTCCTGACTGATGACAAGATAGAATTCCAATCAAACATCGATCTACAGGTAAGTCTCGTTTAATTATTAAATTATCTTGTTGTATAATAGCTGCTGGTTTCTAAATAAAAACGCCACCTACATTGTACATTTACCTTTTGTATGATGCAATGAGACAGCACTTGACTTCATTGTAATACCTCTTATCTGTTCATCCTCACGGCTGTCCATATATCGTAGCTGCAATGATATTACAAAAAATGATAATTTAGTAAAAAAAAATATGAAGATACTATGCACTTATTGACTGAGTGGGAGGGCCGTACTGGAAAATATTTGGCTCRAGRTTATGCCGTACGGAACAAGTGCAGSGAGSCCYGTACAAATCACCGAGAGCCAAATATTTTCCCGTACAGCCTGACCTAACMCAGTCAATCAGCATTTTATCATATGACAGCSTATTTTTAATGTAAAAAAATAAAAGCATGYGGAACTTCAAGMCGGGAAGATATGGGTTTGTATGGCCCTGTCGYGAAAAGGCGTACGGACCCCATCATGTGACCATTTCCCAAAGGTTTTTTAAGAGCGCGCGTAGTGCCAAMATACGAGTCATATGATAAATGTATCTTATGTGCCAATGGYTTGCAGTTTGTCAGTGAAATTAATATCTTGAGATTCAAACATGTTGTGTAGCTAACTCACTACAGAAGAACATTGAATCCCCAGTGTAATCCATATAAATGATCCACTGGCTCACTGCCTCACCAGTCTAAAAGTACAGCAGGAGACTATTGAAGAGTCTACTTAAATGACTGACTCAGCAGTCAAATCAATCCACCAAACACATAACTCTTGTAGTATGTTATTAAGTTGTTCTAAGCCTGTCTGGCAACAAACCACTAAAAAATATACCTACTAGAGACCTGTAAATATATTTTCTTGTTCTTTCTCTTTTGTTCAAGTAGCGCTATTGTGCACAATTTTGTAAGTARTGTTTCACGGGTTTACTGAAAGCACTCTACCATATACTTAATAATAGAAGTTGCATGTACATTGTACTTGTTGTTCTATTTCTCTTGACAAAATAAATGAATATTTGAATTGATAGATGAGTACACGTAACCAAATTGAAAAATAACAATGAATGAAAATAGATTGATTGAGGAATGAATTAAAGGATAAAATACAATAAACCAAAGAAAGCAAGAATTGATGCATCATGAATGGATGTATKCCAGGTGTRTGTACAAATAAAATGATGGATGCAGGTTTAATGCGTTTCTGATAGAAATGTGAAATTTAATAAGAATACCTTGCCGGCAAGGCGCGAAGATATAATTCCATTGCTTGCCACAAGAGCGTCAGCTAAAGTCGTTTTACCTATAAAAATCAATATCCAATAAGAACTCAACTTATGTAACTTAAGTTAACTAACTCAGACCATTCTCGACACTCCAAGCGAGACAAATTTGAAGCTTACCATGATCCACATGGGCTAATATACAAATATTCCTAATGTTCTTTGGATTTTCTTGCAGCAATGAAATGTGCTCTAYAGTGGTCGTTCTCATATTTGCTGTTTCTACGTTGCATGAGAGTAGACCTTAAAATGTTTCATCTCCGCCATGTTTCTTTTCGTGGTGAAATCCTACGCCCACGATATCTGTCATAGCGGCTTCTACCAATCTCACTATGATCAAGAGTCACTAGTGCCGAGATCTCCTTCAAAGTGCACTGTCATTCTTACAGAAAACTTCATCTAAAATGGTAAGAAAAAATGCAATTTTCGATCGTTATTATCTTGTAGTTTATGATTATGGTATAATGCGGTGCTTAGCCTTGTACTATTTTGAGCTTGGGCTGTTTTAAGACGCTCTTAGATGGATTTTGAGAGACATTTTGGGATCTACACGTGACCGGCTCTTTCTTGTGTGGAAATGAGGAGCCCGCGGATGAGATGAAGACAATTTTTTCACAGTTTGGATATTTTCAAGTGTATTTATGTCATTTGTGTGTGTGTCTTTAGTCTCGAAGGTACGATACAAGAACAACCATCTTTTCRCCCGAAGGTAAGTTTTAAAATTTAAATTTGGGCAATCTTGGAGAGTTTGTAAGATTTAAGCTTAAGTACTTAAGTTAATCTAAGCAGATAAACAAAGTTCAAGCATTTTTTATTTCAAATGTTTCTTAAATGTTGCATTTGTAGGTGACCTTAATGTTTAATTTGCACAGGGCGCTTATACCAGGTTGAATATGCTATGGAAGCTATTGGTCATGCAGGGACATGTCTAGGAATATTAGCCAATGATGGCATTGTATTGGCAGCTGAACGCCGTAACACTAATAAACTCCTGGATGAAGTGTTTATTTCAGAGAAGATTTACAAGCTTCATGAGTGAGTGCACATCTTGACGTTATGAATAGCCTGAAAGGAGTTATCCATGATATTAGTCACCATGATTCCCTGACTAGTATCACTTCCAGAGGGAGTAGACATGCTCCTAGTTGATTCATACGTGCTACTGAAATCAGGTTCAGGTTCAGTGGCTTCGAACAAACTATTGAATCTAGGCAAATGTGCATTAAAATAAATGTTACACCATAAAAATATTAGAAGATATAACTTACTGTAATCCGAAGGATTTACYTCCAAAACAGCAGTAAGTTGTCTCACCTATTTATTTTACGATATCATGTTAAAATTTATCTTATTGCACAACTGTTTCTTTAGAAACAATGATGCAGGTCATACTAGATTACTGCTAGTTTCCACCATTGAATCAAGGAATACAGATCATAGATCTTTTCTTTTATACCCACCAATCCTTGACACAGGGGTCCTTGTCAGAAATTCTGAAAATACTCCCAAAAGGGACCTGTATTGTGAGGTGATAGGTGTGGCAGTGCTGAAATTCAYCCCAAAGAAGAACCAATCAATAACAGATCATTCTGCATCAAATGCTGTCGGCTCATATTGAGATCAATCATCTAATTAGCAGTTATGGTTGTTGTTGATCTTATTATAATGATGGCTTAGGGTCGTATGACTAGAGTGATGTAACCTCGAATAACGAATACTGTAGTATAAATAGAAGCAATAGGCTTTCTAGTAATCTGTGAAATGAAACGAACCGAACCAAACTGAATAAAGAAGTTAAAGTCAAGATTGGATTTTTTTTGAACGATATAAACACCCCTCTCCCCCCAGGAATTATGCGTTTAATTTTTTAACTATTGTAGTGAACAATTTATTTACTGTAGTCAATTATTGTTTCACAATCTATTACATAATGGATACTCACAAGCCTGTTATGTGTATCAGGGATATGGCATGCAGTGTTGCTGGTATTACTTCTGATGCTAATGTACTGACCAATGAGCTTCGTCTTATTGCCCAAAGGTGAGTACATACAGTACTAAATAGCTATGCAAGTATACTTTTATTGTACTGTCAAGATAGAGGTCTTTAAAGACAAAAACTGTGAAATATACTAAACAAAGCTGCAGGACACTCTTTGTTCAAATATTTTTCACTGAACAGACCAACATTAAAGCAGTAAAAACTCACTCAGTTCAAAAAAACTCCAAGAACATTCTTTTAGACTCAGAGGTACAAGTATCCACAACTTCAAATTAATGATGAATATACCTTGGTTGCTTCACCCAAAATTGAGAATTTGAAATAATCAGCAAGCCCTATTTAACATTCACTTAGTACGAATGTTATAGCCTCCGTAGCAGACGTTCTTAGCGGTTCGGTTCGATTCTCTGTGGGATCGAACCGCTAAGAACGTCTGCTATGGAGGCTACGAATCTTACAAGTTGGGTTGATTTTGATGCAGAAACTTAGGAAAGTTTCATCTTTATCTAGTCTTGGTGTGAAAATTTACTGGATATTGATAAAGTTGACAGGATGTATTTCATGATAAAACATCCGCAGTGTATTACTCAATCGAGTCACCTCAATAACTTTCAGAAAATCCCTAAGTAAGTTTGATGTTGTTTAGGGAATCCACAAGTCAATGAAACAGGGAATAGCTAATATAGCTATCACATTATAGCCAATTATCATCACTGTAATTATCATCATTTAGGTATCAGCTTCAATATCAAGAACCAATCCCCTGTGAACAGATGGTCAGCTCCTTATGTGATATCAAACAGGCCTACACACAGTTTGGAGGTAAAAAAACAGTGAAAATCAAAGTACTGTCATGATCATTAATGATGGCTTCAAGAAGATTTGCTCAATGTAATTGTTTTCTGTTTGAATTTCAATAAATTCCTACATTGAAAGAATATGCCGGTAATGTTACCAACTTCATCATGTAATAAATTGATACTTTGACAAGCTTTTGTTCTCAGGACAATAAAGTACTGGTCATTATTTACAATGATTACAAATGTGCTGAACAAGCAGCTTATTATTTTGACTTGATAAAATAACGGTATGTAGGTTGTAATTTCAATCTGTTTTGTAGGTTTACGTCCTTTTGGTGTTTCTATTCTGTATGTTGGTTGGGACAAACACTATGGCTTTCAATTGTATCAAAGTGATCCCAGTGGAAATTACAGTGGATGGAAAGCAACATGTATTGGCAATAACAGTGTGGTAAGACATTACACTAGACAGCCACAACAGACCTGAAATCATTCGCAATCTTTGATTTATTGGAGGGGGATGAATCTGTCACTCACTCAATCACTCAGTCACTCACTTTCCTGTAAACTTGAGCCTGTGTTACTTGTGTTCAGAACTATTAATTTATTCTCATTGTTTTCTAGTAATTTACTCAATTTTTTACAGTTACCGGGTTCCCTGTTCTATATTTGATTGAATATATTTATTTTTTGGCAAAGAAAGAAATCTAAAGAAATGTCAGCTCCTCTGAGTCTCGAACCTGAGACCTCTGAATTAGAAATCGAAGGCACAACCACTCAGCCGACGCGTACCAATGTTACATAATTGGGCTAGACTTGTCTTTTAAGTGCAGGCGCTCGCCCCTGGTTGTCAAGAATCGAAGTTTAAAAKAATTAGATTGTAACGAAAAAAAACTGTATTCATAAAATTAATCGTTTAATTAAAATTCAATTTGKAAAGTAATTATATAATTTGATTCGTCATACCGTTCAGTCACAAAGGTCAAAGCAAGCAAAGAAGACTGGCCGATTCTCCAAATTCGTTTTCGAAAATGATYGTACGAAGGTGCTGGCCCGTGCTTTAGAGATCCCAAGTTGATATTAAAATGAAACAATGAAGACTCTGTTGTAGAATTTTCCAGCTCTACGCAGCTCACAATCAGAGGGACTGTATTCTTTCTTGTACTCCTTTATTCATTGACGTTCGAACACTATCTGAATTAAATTTAMAACTCGTGGTTTACAGAATATGAATCATGCTACATATCAGTTGTTTATAGTCTATACTAATACACACTTTCTTTGCACACTTACTAATTGAAAGTTTCTAGGTTGATTAACACAAAATGACTTGAACCACACTATCTTATGATTTAACAAAAATGTACAAAAAATAATAATATCTCTGAATATAGTTTGTTTTTTTCCGTTAAAATTTTATTAATTTAAATAACTTCAGTTCTGGATAAGCATGGGTTTTGTTTGCTTTAATTGAACTCACRAGATATCGATTGTTGCTTGACTTTGAGGCGAAGTTGTGTTTACTTAGGGATTGTTATTATTGCTTTTTGTCCCTTGCGGTGATTTTATTTCTGTATTGTCYAGATGTAATGCTACTAGAATGTGGAATGGCAGCATTTTACCCAACAATTGCAAATTTTATATAGCTRTGGCTAGACTGGGATTTATCTTGTCAGCGCTCGCCCATGCTTATCAAGAACTGAAGTTAAATTAATAAAATTTTAACGAAAAAAAAACTATATTCATAAATCATTTACTTAAAATTAAATTTTGTTAAGTAATTATAATTTGATTCATCGTATCGTTCCRTATTCGTCTACACAATCAATCTTTGAGTTGTGTTGCCATTGGCAGCTTGATTAGTTTGTTTGTTTCTTGTTATGTTTTGCTGAGTAGAATATTTTTATACCCAATGACTGGACTACTTTTTGCACTTGAAGAAACAAGAAACTAGCAATGGACACAGTTCAGTAGTTTGGGACCAGCATTTGCACACTTTATAAATCACAACCATTTACTAGACTTWTTATACAATGTCAATTATGTGAAACGGCAAGGAAGGTTTGGTTTACCACAACTGAAGGTTTTTTCATGTTTAAGGCTGCTGTGTCTATGCTGAAGCAAGAGTACAAGGAGGATGCCATGGCTTTAAAAGATGCCCTGCAGCTCTCTATAAAGGTTTTAAGCAAGACTTTAGATGTTACCAAAATAACTCCAGACAAAGGTAACTCTTCTCAGCAGTTTTCACACGCCATACTATACCACTTTTCTTGGTTAGCTTCAAAGCAATGATTATTGTTTAAAGTTCGTTCTGGGAATTCAAAAGCAATGATCAGATTGCTAATGTTATTTTGCATTTTTTGCATTGTTCTGTGAAAAACTTTTCAATATCACAATAATGTACTTCATTGCCTCGTATACATGTCATCCATTAGGCATAAACATACTTTAGGCCGAAGCCCCTCAGGGTGTATAATGCTTATCGCCTCCAGTCTCGCTAATTAACTCTTACTTTTTTCCAGTTGAAATTGCTACACTAACAAGAGACAATGGAAAGACCTATCTTAAGATTCTAAACTCCAAAGAGGTTGAAAACCTGATAGCATTAAATGAAGAAGAAACGAAGAAAGCAGAGGAGACTAAGAAAACATCCAGTTAAAAATATTATTTCTTGTAATTTATAGTAAAACGTCACAATTTATGTTCTGTATGTTTCACTGCCATTTCTAGGGACTTGTTGTGCATACGCCATACGGTGTATATTTCTATCGTGCCATTTACATGTAAATCCTATTTCCATAAGAGAAAATCTATGCATTGAACAACTTAATTCATCATTTAGTATAACCAGCGCCAGATACTGAAGTCAACTTTTAGTCTTTTTTGCCTATCTGTAACAAATGCAATGCAATTCACAAAAAAAAAACATTGTTAGCATGTTGAGATCAAACTCTCTACTGCTACTTGACAGACTTGACAACAAGCCTGATCAGCTAACCCATTTTCAACCCAATTCAAACCACCCGGGAGTAAGTTTCATTGTTCGTTGTATTTTCATTTCACAGTCGAATTCTTAACAACAAAGTAAGGTGGTAGTATTGAGTGGTAGCATGCATAGCAACGTGTTAGGCAATTAGCTCTTTGAGGCAATCAGTCCAGACACATTACATTGGTAGCTTTTGACAGTATTTTAAGTTCATGTACATCTTCAGTTAGCATGTTACACCTGTAAAAACATTTGTTGCAAATGTAAGTTTATCAGTTAAAGTGTAGACTATCTTATACCATTACTGTAAACAAGACTTACAATAAACTATAGAACAGACGATTTGGTAGAAATTTGTGCAATATTGTTTGACGAACTTGAGGCAGATGCAGGATTATCTTGGTTGCATGAACAGCCCCTGAAAATAGGAAAGCCTCCAAAACCTCCTGTAATTATCATACAGACATGTTGCTGAAGAGTGTTCAATTGAGGCCTTGTTGTTGCTGTAAAGTAGTGAAAAAAGGTCTGAGCTTTCACCGTCTCGGCTTCATCAGAGTCATGTTGCTGTTTAAGTTTTGGATTTTTAGCATTGCCACTAAAACCTTCCAGAAACATCAAARCAGATCTTCAAAACAGTCCTTGAAAAAACTTTCGCTTGAAAAAGCACTTGAAAAGTTTTGGAATTTGCTACGAAAAATAATTATAATTATTTAAGMACAAACCTTGCAATGACTTAGTTCACCCTTCACACAACCAACCACTGAGTTATAGACCTTCATAAAAGTTACCAGCCACTGTATTTGTACATTTCCATYATCTGTCATTATTGTAGACAATAAAATGCAAAATATTTCTCAAAATAGGTCTGGAAACGAAGCTCCAATAGCAAAACAGAAGCAGAAAATGATTATCTATAGTACTACTATTTCAAAGATGTTGACATGCAAACAAATATTCTAAACATATTTGTTCATTTTAGCTTAAGAAAGAGTCATGTTTATGAGAATAACTGCATGAAAKCTTCTCGGCAAAAGTTCGATGTTTGAACCCGAGTCKAGATCGAGGGCCGAGGTTAAAAGTCGAGAGTAAGGGTAAAACGTCGAAAAATCACCTTTCTTATGTGGCGTACTCAGAAATACGTTGCTTCTCGAAAAAATAAGAGAATCACAATTGGTAGTTTAGAAAAGTAAAACAACAACTAGCAATTCAAGTCGATTTTCAACTTCTTCTAATTTTCTTTATTTTCTTGACTTGAGTGGCCTCGCCTCATTCATTTACGTTCAATTAATATACACCTAATGACACCTAATTACGAAAACGTTGTCCTGAGATTTAAGGATTTAGGAAATTAAAAATACATTAAAAGACAAAGCATGAACACTGAAGCCGAACACTTTCTTTTGTTTTTTTAATTAATTCCTAAATAGTAAAAGTTCTTTTTTCTTGGACAACGTTTGTGTAATTAGGTGTATATAAATAATTAGACTTTTTGGATGATTGAATGAAGTTGTTAGCAAACATCAATGGATAGATTGATTTTTGGGCTTAATATGTAATAATATAGGGTGGCCAAACACAAAATTGTTMAATAATCCAGTTTCGAATTCTCCAATGCTCTGTGTTAGCCTCATTTGTGCGCAAAATATTCCTAACTGTGAGAATAAAAGTGTGAGATTTCATATCAATTCTATTGTTTTTCTTTTCAAATTCCATGCGTTTTCACAGGCTATCAATGAAACAAAAGAATATGTTACTTGGTTTTGAGGCTAACACATGGAGCAAACCAGAACTCGAAATTGGAGTATTGAGTACCACGAATCTCGGCTCATTATACACCCTTTTGAATTCTCCGCACTTGACGTCAAATTTATTCTTTTGAAATTTTTACAATACAAAAGGAATTCAAAAGAATAAATTTGACGTCATGTGCGGAGAATACAATACCTCGGGACTTATTAAAAGGGTGTATATAGATTAAACATATTAGAGTGCAAGCAATATATACGTGCAACACTAAATTAAAATAGTAAAAATTTAGTAATTTACAGAAGTACATAACCAGACAACCAATCACAACGCGCGCACATATTACACGGCACCTGATTGGTCCTTGTTGATCTACTTCAAGAGCGGACAAGAAAAAGGAAAATGTAGTCGATGGAGGCGGACGAAGTGAAGTTTGCATTACAAAACTTTTACAGCTTTTGCTGAACAACCATTTCTGAATTTGGTAGAAAACATTCTTTACTATATGAGCAATGTAGCGAAGGAAGTTCAAGAGCAATATGGTCTGCGAAAASAAGGGAAAAGTTCAGACAAAKAYGAAGAMAAATGYAAAACAGCGTGCTAAGAAAAGTAGTGTAAAGTAGGTTACTTACAGTCAAATAGAGCTGGAGTTAAACAAAGCCAAAGGTAAAGTAACTTTCGATTGTTAACCTGAGATGGAAAAGCTGTAAATTTTCAGGTAGGCGGGGTTTGTTTTCAAATTCAAGTTACTTATATCGATATTTCTTTGACGACTTTTCTTGTTTGTGGCTTTTCATAACTTATCTTCTAGGTCTAGTTTATTGTAAACTGTAACTTAAAATTCGACATGATTTCGTTATTACCCTCTGTACCTATTCGCTAGTTTGTTTTTTGCCTCGCTTTTTCTTTCAAAGAACAATCAAGACTACATTTTCCTTTTTCTTGTCCGCTCTTGAAGTAGATCAACAAGGACCAATCAGGTGCCGTGTAATATGAGCGCGCGTTGTGATTGGTTGTCTAAAAATAGATTATCGGGACATCTGATGGTGGCGATATTATTGCAAAATCGTACAACTTGTCTCGCAACATTGCTGCAAAACAAGTTGGAAAGCGATGTTGCGCGTTTTACTAGCGGCGAACCAACTTTTTTCGCAGCAAAATTTTTTGTTGCAAGTTGAAAAAGTTTGCTGCAGAAAGTAGAAGGTGGTTCTACTTTTTGCAACAAAACTCGAAGATGTTGCCCGTTTTACTACATCAACCCAACTTGTCTCGCAGCAAAATGACGTCGCGCGACAAT